TTCTGCAATTACTGTTGGTCCACGACACCTTGATGATGTTTTGAATGCAGCTATTGTTCATCCAGTGGCTAATGCAAATAGCAGGATAAACCCAATCATCTCATTTTTGAATCATGCAAATTGCAAATGTGTACTTTACAAGTCACTAATCAGTGCTGTAGTGGCCCACATGCTCATTAATCTGTGCATGTTTGTTTCTAGAAGAAAGCAAGGCAAAACAAGGGTCACCTAAATATCATGCAAACTGGAGGACAGCCAGTTGATTTAAGCTACATTTTTGCTTGATACCTATTTTATTGTAACCAGGTCAAAGTGACCCCAACATCAGAAATGTAACAATTTGAACCAGAATATCCTAAAATTTAGTTGGCAGAATAATTGTTTCCTTATAATAAAGGTTCCAAGCAGAAGGTTAATTGTCTGATGGGCGAATTTTGTGAAGTCAAGCACGTCCATTATGAAACAGAGTTACTTCTGTGTGTTAGTCATCATGTTACAATTAGAAGTTTCAGCTAAAAGAAGATAAAGTGCAAAGCAGCTTAGTTTAAACTGAGGTTTGGTTCGCTTTCAGACGGGGATCTGGAGGGTGAAAGATTATAATTCGTGTGGTTTGTGTGAAAAGTGTCAAGAGGTCATGTGATTATGCTAAATGTGTCTTTTTAAAAATGTAAAACTTAAATGCTGAGCTGCTGCAACAGACAGGTACAAAATGATGCTTTTCATCGTTTATTAAAACAAATCAAGTTTATTATGAAATATTTGTAATAAAACACAAAGCTGTGCAACAAAATCTTTCGTACTTTGGAATAATTGGTCTTGCCTGTGAAACTGATTTGTAGTCAGCATTATTTTCACAAACCCATTATAGAAGATCAAAAAGCATTTAAAGTGTGCAACGCGTTGGCAACGAAACAAGATCTCTATTGTGGCTGCGAGCTACCTGCTGGATGAAGCACGGCTCGGGAATTTGAATATGGAAATTTGAGGGAGCTCAGCTCGTGATACGGAATTCGTTTAGTCTGAGAGCCATTGCAGTCGTGTTGTGTCTGCGGATAAAAGTCGACTCCGATCAAAGAAACAGGAAAACTGTGAGGAAATAAAGGGGAAAGGGGCATCATTCATAGCTGCATGTTCCTGCTAAACGTCATCTTTTACTTGAAGTTGCATCACCTGACTGTCAGACTGTCTCTGCATCTCAGTCAGGGCAAACGTCGGCTTTTCTTTGTGCTTTCTTCATTCTTTAAGTCCAGATTCAACACATTAAAAGTTAAAAGCATGGACATTATTTCCCGCTAACAAAGTTTTTGACATGCAAATAGAATCAGAGGCATACTTTATTTTATCCAGCTTAGATAAAATACGGAAGATGTTTCCAGGAAGCAGTTAATGTTTCCATACTTTTATTTCCTATGCTTTGGTTTCCACTAGGTGGTGTTTCTCAGAACTTGTTGCACGTTAGTCTTCTTAAGAGGATCGGCGTGTGCTGCGATGGTAAAAAAAAAGGGCACTTCAGGGATATCTGGGTAGCTGCTGTTTTATTCTCAATTAAGAGCCATTAAGACCTTGATTATACTAACCTCCCGCAGTTCACAGGCAGGCACAGCGGGGGTCTGCCGTTGGGTTTGGACGGTTTAATAAAAGCATTGCTGTGGAGAAAAGTGTGTTTAATATTTCAAATTAAATATAATAAAACTGGGATTTAGTTTCGGTTTAAGCAGTGAGCCATGCCGTGTACCAGACTACAAACATGTCAGAAAATCGCCTTTGTGTTGATGCTTCTGAAGCAGCTCCTCGTCACAGCCAGCAGCTGCTTTTTTACAGCAACAAGACGGTATTGAGCTGTTCTTAATGACTGAAGTGGTTATAGCCTGCCCCCATAAGGCTATGATGTTTTTGCCCAACCACTGGATGTATGGAAATGGATCTCTCAGAACAGAATCATCAGATTTCTACTAATTAGTCTTTTGATTCAAGCTGATTTAGGATGTTGTATAATCCTTATATATCAAAAAATGTCTCAACGCTGGGTAATAATTAAAAAATGTCTCACAAAAGATAATAGCTGACATGCTTTCATTATAAATAGATTTTATTTTTACTGATTTACTATGTAAAGCTTCCACAAACAATTGATTTAGTTATTAATCGACTGTTTGTACTCTAATATATCAGTCATTAGCTTCTAACTTGTGTTATGTGTGGTCTAAAAATGAAGATAAATAAGAAAATAGCTCATTCAACAACTTTAAGGAACTTAAAAATAGATGCATTTCTAACAAATCACATATTAGTTTTGTAACTTCACAGCAAACAAAAGGCGTTTGTGTTAAGGGTAATGAAACTAGGGATGCAACGATACCACTTTTTTCCAGACCGATACGATACCGATACTTTAATCTGAGTACTCGCCAATACCGATTACCAAAACCGATACTTCTACCACACAAAAAAATGCAACGATTTGGAATACAGATTTTATTTTCTTCTCTGTTTTCAACGGGAAAAGACTGTGAGGCAGATAAAAAGTAAAATATATGAATAGAAATCATCACAAAACTAAAATATTAGGTGAACAGAAATGACAAGTTACAGTGAAGCCATTTTCAAGCAACTGCATTGGTATCGATTCCTGGTATCGGTTAACTTTTACCGATACCGATACTGGTATTGGTATCGGTATCTGTGCCGTTACCGATACCAAGATTGTATCGGTACATCCCTAAATGAAACTGCGTCACTACGGTTAAAGTTATACTACGTAACATTTTCCTTTTATTGAGCCAGTATGTGCTAAAATGACCCTTTGCAGGGTTAACGAAAGGCCACTATCACCCTCTGTGGCGAGCCACCACCTTTTGGACTTGGAAAAATTGAGCTGACATACCTGGAGCTGCAGTTTGGTTCCAGCATGTTTTAGATCATGAACTCAGCTGATTTGTTTAATTTAGTGAAGAATCACTCCTGTAATAAAGGCTGCGAGACATTTCAGCAGTTAGATTAAGGTGTTAAAGAACAAATGCACAGTGCAACACTTCCTCACACCAGAAACGTCGGAAAATGACCCTGGGTGACCAAGCGTTTGTTGGTAATCCCAACACGTTGGGAGGCGACACGCTGTGCCAGAGCATTGGTTTCCGACGCCTGCGGTAAAACGCACATTTCACCGACATTTACCCTCTGACCTTTTGCTATTTAACCTTCCCCTCACACCCATCCTAACCTTAACCTTGTTTCTCATTCTAAACTTCCCATTAACCGTGTTGGAGAGGGACGTCACAAGTAGAAAAAAGTTCTGCATGCGCAAGAGGGTTAAGGTTAGTATGGGGTGAGGGGAAGGTTAAATAGCAAGAGGGTAAATGTCAGAATTTGGTGAAATCTCGGTTTTCCCCCGACTGTCGTAAAACGATGCTCTGGCGCAGCGCGTCGCCTCCCAACGTGTCTGGGCTCCCTACGAGTCAGAAACAAACGTCGCACCCACCCACCGTCAGTTTTTGACGCTTCGGGGTGAATGTGTTGCGCAGCGAGGAGATACGCTTCATTTGCGGTTTAACCACAGAGAATTAATAACGAACACTAGGGGGTGCTAAAAGCAAGCAAAACTTCCAAGTGGGCATTTAATGTAACGGCTAAAGTAGCTCACTGTTGATGTTAGCAACTAGCAAATTAGCTTCAAGGTGACTGTCACGCTTTGTCATCAGCCACAACGTGCTTCCTTTTAAGACGCTTGTGTTCGTTCTGCCATGGAAGGCAGGTTCTACCTTGAAAATAATACTTCTCTTGAATTTTTGCTCCCTAACTGTGGCTGGGGAGAGGGAAGTCCTGGCCTCTCAACTTAGGCCTCCGACCCGCAACCCGACTCCAGATTAGCGGAAGAAAATGGATGTATGGCTCCCAACTTTCAAGCTCTATTGGCTGCTCATCAGAATGGCTCGGGCTTTTCCGGTGACGCCACGGCTGATCCCGAGGGCCAATACTGTGTGTCGAGGGCAGAAAGGCAGCCGAAGTAGCGGAGGGTTACAGCGGCAGTTTAGAGAGGAAAACAAAAATGCAAAAACTAACAAAGATGTCAATTACATCTGTCGTTTGCTGACATACAGTAGTCGTGGCTCATCGACTGATCTTGGGAGCACTAAAGTTGCGAAGAAATGATCAAAGTTATCCAGTTAATATGATGTAAAATATCCAGCCTATGAGATATTTTATTTATTTATTTATTTACATATATATATTTTTCGCTAACACTTAACTTCCTCTATTAGTTGAGTGTCCAGTTGGTGCAGGACCATGTTTGTTACTGTGTTCACTGACCTTGCACACACACACACACACAAACACACACACACACACGCACGCACGCACACACACACACACACACACACACACACACACACACACACACACACAGCTGGAAGGCTTTCTCTCATGGAGAGATAACTACAGGCTGAGAACAATAGACCATCTCTTCTCCCATCTGGTGAACTGGAGGATGAAACTTCATTTACAATTCAGATCCCCCACCTCTGCGTGTGTGTGTGTGTGTGTGTGTGTGTGTGTGTGTGTGTGTGTGTGTGTGTGTGTGTGTGTGTGTGTGTGTGTGCGTGCCTGCGTGTGTGGATGAGTGGAGGTGTGGTAGTAGAGGGAACAAAACGAGATTCATTTCAGGGTGAATTTGGGATTATGAATTAACATGCTGCACTGCTGAAAGACTTCATTTACAGCTAATTGAGTGTGTTGGCTCATTAAAATTGCTGTTGTGTTGAAACTGCTCTGCCTGGCTGCCCCCGGGCTGTGTGTGTGTGTGTGTGTGTGTGTGTGTGTGTGTGTGTGTGTGTGTGTGTGTGTGTGTGTGTGCGTGCGTGCGTGCGTGCGTGTGTGTGTGTGTGTGTGTGTGAGAGAGAGTTTGGGTAGGAGTGGTGACCTGTATATTGGTGAACAGCTGTAGTCTAGATGTGTGAAATTGGATGTAGAATATCTAATAAACTGTTTTGTCTCTGGCCCAGGTGAGAAGCCCTACAAGTGCTCATGGGAGGGCTGCGAGTGGCGCTTTGCCCGCAGTGACGAGTTGACGCGACACTACCGCAAACACACTGGAGCCAAGCCATTCAAGTGCAACCACTGCGACAGGTAAACACACAGAACAAAAGCCGCAGCAAACACACGGCGCGGTTGGCATTTGTAGGACGTTTGTGCCCTTTAACGAGGCACAGGCCTGTGGCCACGCTGCAGCGAAAGAGTTTGTTGAAGGGAAACTTTTAAAATTCATTCTTCCAAGTGAAAAGTTTAATCAGAGGAGCATTTGCAAATATTTGAAGGATGATTGAGTCATTTGAGTAATTTGGGATGACGGTGGCGTAGGAGTTAAGTGCTCACCCCGTAATCAGAAGGTTGCAGGTTCGAGCCCCGCTCAGTCTGTCGTGTCCTTGGGTAAGACACTTAACCCACCTTACCTGCTGGTGGTGGTCGTAGGGTCAGTGTGCTCCAGGGCAGCTGTGGCCACAGTGTAGCTCATCACCACCAGGGTGTGAATGTGTGTGTGAATGGGTGAATGACTGATTATGTAGTAAAGCACCTTAGGGGGTTCCAGGACTCTAGAAGATGCAATATCAAATACAGGACATTTATCATTTAATTCCCCTCAGATTCACTTTGTTTTATGTTAAATTGCATTTCTTTCCTTTTTTGATTTTGGCTTTCCAACAATAACAACAGAAAGTGATTATCATTTTTATTTACTTTGTTGTTTTGCATGCTCTTTATAAGCCATGCCTTCTGCAGGATATGCACCTCGTCCTCCTTCCCTCTAAATCTTGAGGCATTTGACCAAAATAATAAGTAAAAAGTAAAAATGGCCAAACTTACACAAAGGCACTGGCGACGCATGCTATGCCTCCATTTTTCCAGTTATGTCCGCAGTTCTATTCATACTCCTAAGATAATGCTTGTTTTGTTCAAACCTACTTACATATTAGCACAAATACTCATATTTATTAAGTATTTGTGCTAAAAAGGTCACAACTTCATAATCGTCCCCACCAAAAGCTCATCCCTACTCTGTTGCCTCCAGAGAAGCTGCTGTGGGCCCTTTAACCGTTCTGATGAGTGAGCAAAGCTCCAATCAAATCACAACATCTCATTTCCTGTTTTTAGAAAAGTGAAATACATCAAAAATTATCGGGCTTTGATAAGCGTCTTTGCAGAGACGATGCTATCCATTTCCTGCCGCCTGCAGTCTAATTACTGAGATGCTTCAGTGGGCTCAGAAAATAAAAGATGATCAACTTCCAATCTTAAATAACACAAACAAGTTTGTCATTTATTTGTCTTGTTTGTTGTATTTCATTTTGTTACAGTTGGCTGAGATATCACAGTAGAGCCAGTTTGTTTCTCTGCAAAAATAATCTCTGAGCACCGGTTAGTTCCTCCAGAACAGCAGGATACCAGTCAGCCTCTCTGAAAAATGATAAATAAAACAACATTTTTCATCCAGCATCAGGCTCTGTGCATCTCGTGTGGCTCTGTGGGACCGTAATGATCCACAACAAATGTCATCTCTTTTGTTGTCCTCATCGAGATTCAGCCCCTAAACAAACACAAATAACAACAAAATGCTGCACATTATTCATTATGAAGTCCACTAAGGACGTGTGTGTGTGTGTGTGTGTGTGTGTGTGTGTGTGTGTGTGTGTGTGTGTGTGTGTGTGTGTGTGTGTGTGTGTGTGTGTGTGTGTGTGTGTGTGTGTGTGTGTGTGTGGAGTTATTTCACTCCTCCAGGCAGGACTTAAGTTTTTATCTGGAAGGATAATAAAGATTCACCATTGCCGTTTATGGTGTAGCCAGTTTAATAAGAAATGGTGTTAGCTTAAATGAAGTTAGCTCCTAATGGATTGGTGTTGGAGGCAGGAGGGCGATGCTCGTGCAGGATGTGTTTCCCCTCAGAAATTGACTGCAAATTTATTGACTCTCAATACGTTTTATCTGCTCAGTGATGGAGGGCTTCTCCAGTTGGTCTAGCGCCAGCGTGTTTGTTTCACCGACACACGTCCGATGCAGTTTGGGCAAAACAAAAGCAAAGCAGACCAAAGCCAGGAATGTGTATGTGTGTGTGTATGTGTGTGTTCATGCTTTTATCCACATTGTCACTGGTTGGCTTTTGCCGCTCAGGGTTGAGAGAGAGAGACAGAGAGAGAGAGAGGGGTGTGTGTGTGTGTATGTGTGTGCTTACTCCTGCCCCTGTTAAATGGATTCTGGCTATTGGCAAGGAGGTTGCAGCTAATTGAGTGGCACCAGATGCCAGCTCCACTTGAACACACACTTCTTTCCTCCTTGCGTGCGTGTGTCTGTGTGTGTTTGTGTGCATGCCTGCCTTCTCTACCTTTCTAATTTATCAGACACACACACACACACACACACACACACACACACACACATGCACCCTTTCACCCAGGAGAGAGTGTAATTGGCTGTCGTGGGCTCCCTCTAGTTTAGGTTTAGGACATAAAACCCCCAGAAACCTGCTGGAAGCGTCTTATCCAGGCTGAGCGCTGAGGCTCTGTGGAACACACACAAAAACCAGGCTGAAAGTCACGTTGGCTCACACATAAATAAATGTCTAGACGTAACAACCAGACCCAGGTTCTGCTTACATTATGTACTAATCTACAGAAGAAGATAATTTAACTATAATGTTAAAATCTATCACGAGTTCCTTATTTTGGACTAATGTGAGTTCAGTTGTCAGCCTGTAAATCTTTGTCAGATTAAATAAGAGACACTCTTTACTTCTCTGTAGTTTCCTTTCATGCAAACTTTTAGATACCTTTTTGTTGTTGTTGTTGTTGTTGTTGGGTTTGGTTGCTTTGTCACAGTATAGTTAGGAAACAAGCAGGAACTGATTAGATGATTTCTAACGGGGAAAATTTGTATTTTAAAGCTTGAGATGCGGGTTTATCTGTGTCCTCATCAGTTGTAAACACAATGTTGGAATAATGGGACGTGCCGTAGGACTGGTGCTTTATAGTTCAGCTAAAGATCGGTGTGTATTTACTTTTAAAGTGGGTGAAACAAGGACCTGGTTGGATCATCCCTCATTTGTTTAAATAAAATCAGAATGTTTATTAAATCCAAACTTCTTTTGATTTCCCGTTGGTTCTGTCAGTGCCCAATTAAACAGGATTAGGAAAATACTGAACATATGCCTCCTAGATCAGTACAGTAGCACACACACACACACACACACACACACACACACACACACACACACACACACACACACACACACACACACACACCCATACACGCATCTGTGGTGGGTGGAGTCCACCATGTATTACCATGAGAATGGCAAAAAGTGGCAGCCATGGAGAAGTTAACATTTGATAAATTGTTCAATCTGACACTGTTTCTCCAGGGGATACACACACACACACACACACACACACACACACACACTGAGGTGGGAGTATGTTATTAATTCTACTTAATCAAGCAAAGGCCCCCCGATGTTTGCATTGAGCTTTAGGGAGGAGTTGCAGGAGAAAGAAAGAAGACAGGAGGATAGGAGACAGTTTAAAGGAAGAGAGGAGCTTTAAAAGGAAGTGTGTGTGTGTGTGTGTGTGTGTGTGTGTGTGTGTGTGTGTGTGTGTGTGTGTGTGTGTGTGTGTGTGTGTGTGTGTGTGTGTGTGTGTGTGTGTGTTTGTGTTGAGGAGAAGGGGAGTAACTGTGGGGGCTTACCAGCTGGAGTGGCTGCTCTTCTCTCCCCCCACCCCCCCATGATGCCACAGTGGCTGGCATGGCCATCTGTCCAGCAGCACACACACACACTTACACACACAGACCCGAGCAGAGATGAGAGAAGGTGTACAGTAGGTACCACATGGACACTGAGGGCTGAAGAGAAACCACAGAGAACAAAGAGATCAGCTCTGTGTGTTCACCATGTGGACTCATCCTGGAGCCCAGACTCAAAGAAAGGGTCGTACCGACCACGATGGTGTGATCCAAACTGAAAGTTTTCTATTCATTTTCTATTCAATTTTGTGCCTCAGAAGAATCACAGCTGACTGAGACTAAATGAGACGTCCCAACATGCTGTTTCAGTCAGGAAGTAAATGAAAATGAGCAAAAAAGCAGCTAAAGCTAAAGAGAGGGTTTGAAAGACTTTCAGAATACTGTGAAAAATAAAAAGAAGGTGATTAAAATGAAAAAAAAAGTTCTACAGCTTTTTTTCTTTTATCTGGTGGCTGCTGGTGATATATTTCATACTCCAGTGTGTGACTTACAGTCATTTAATGACATTTGACTTTATATACCTGAGTGGACGTTTGAAGGAACAATCTGCAGTATTGGCTTGTTTTTAGCACCCCTAGAGTCTGTTTTATGTCACTGTCGTAAAACCGAAACTGAAACTCTCCTCCTCACTGTGCGTGTGTGTTTTTAACACCTTCATCTAGCAGCTGAAATGTCTCCTCAGCCTTCATTGGTTTCTGCAGGAGCGGTTCATCACTACAAAACAACAAATCAGCTGTGTTCACGATGTCAAACATGCAGGAAACTGTTGCAACCTGTCCTGTCTCCCCACTCTGTTCAGTCCTGTCTTTCCTGATTGCTCCCACCTGCCTCTTGTGTCCCAATTACTGCTGATCCCAGCTCCTCCTTGTGTATTTAAACCCTCCCAGTTCTGTGTTCCTTGTCTGTCCACTGTGTTCTTGTCCCGTGTGTTCCTTATTAATAAGCCTCTAAACGTTCCAGCCTGCTTTCTTCCCCGCATTTGGATCCTCATCTCTGCCTCACTCACCTCCACACCCGTGACAGAAACGAGCTGGAAGCAGACCCCAGTGGGGTGAGGGGGGGGCTGAGTGACATTTCATTTCATATTTTAGCGCATACCCACTCAAGAAAATTGTTTAAAAAAATGAAAAAGTTGCATAGTTTCCCTTTAAAAACTTCTGAAATAATCTTTAAAATGCTGAAGTCTGTTTTTTTTTACATAATCTGTAAGTAACTCTTGCTAATCCTGCTGAATCTGACATCAGATGCATCCAAGTGCTGTCAGAAATAACGTTTTTATACACAATTTAGGTCAGCACACGTGGACCCATATCTTCAGACGATTTAAACTGAAACGTGTTTTGGTTTAAAACTCTAATCTGAATTAGACTGCTAAACATTCCCACCAGCTCTTATTCTGCAGCAGCTCAGTGTGAGGAGTCTCCAGCTGTGGATCAGCTTTAAACTCTAAACTGTACTTTATTCTGCTTTGAGCTCAGAGTGTCTGCATCTGAATTAAACAGGTCTGTGTAAATGCACACACACACACACACACACACACACACACACACACACACACACACACACACATGTGTGTCTTTCCATCATAGTGAGGACCCTCCATTGACTCCCATTCATGTTTGTGACTCCACTATGCCTAGTCCATACCCTAGCCCATACCCTAGTCCATACCCTAGCCCATACCCTAGTCCATACCCTAACCCTAACATTAACTAAAACATGATTCACACCAAAGCTCTAAAACCAACGGGTAAGCTTCTAAAAAAAAGTGAGGACCAAAAAATTGTCCTCACATTGTAGGGGAAATGGTCAAAATTGTCTTCAGTATGTATTATGTACAAGAACACACACACACACACACACACACACACACACACACACACACACACACCATTTTTACTGTCCATGATAATTAAATACGAGGACATAAAATCAATTACCAGCTTAATCATGCACATCCACACACACACACACACACACACACACACACACACACACACACACACACACAGCCTTGGCTAATTAACTATTTAATAAGCCTGTGGCAAATTTAATTTTTAATTTCTTATTTTTGTCTCCCCTATACCTTCAGTCACATCATTTGTGACTATTATTATTGTTGTTGTTGTTGTTGTTGTTGTTATTATTATAAGTAGTAGTAGTAGCAGTAGTAGTAGTAGCAGTAGTAGTAGTAGTAGCAGCAGCAGTAGTAGTAGTAGTAGTAGTAGTAGTAGTAATAGCAGCAGTAGTAGTAGTAGCAGTAGTAGTAGTAGTAGTAGTAGTAGTAGTAGTAGTAGTAGTAGTAGTAGTGTTATTATTATTTATTTTTGCTATTATTATTATTATTATTAGCCATGAAGGCGATGCGACTGAGCACCTTCTAGTAGAATCAGCCCATCTCCTGGTACATGACATCAGGTGGAGTGGAGTTAAATGGCCCAGCCCGTCTGCATTAGTCTGCGTGTTCACAAGGGCAGATCTGATAAGTCTCTACGGTTGTCTCAGAGTCTGAGAGCAGAGCTGCGGAGGCCTGGCTGTGATTTATTGCCCAGATTGAGTCATTTTTAGAAAAAACACTGAGGCTGATTTGGACTTTGTTCCTCTTTAGATCACCGCTCTACTCGTGTGACGTGATGAAGGAAGACAGCTTAAATGTACTGGATTTAAGCCGAAGTGGCTGTCATCTTTTTTGTGTCCCTGCATGTTTTCTTTATTTCTTTTTCTTACTCCAGATTCAAGATTTCTTCCCTCTAGCAGATTTCTTTAGTTTTTCCTCATTTGTCACATTTAAATGTTTCAGATCAGTAAATTTAGAGTGCAGTTCCTAATGAGTATTCTGTTTATTAGGAGACAAAGTCCATCTAAACCAACCAGGATCTACGTGAAAAAGGTCCTCCTTTTGAAAGCGGTGGAGGTGCTTAATGTTTCTGTGCTGCTTCGCAGGTGCTTCTCTCGGTCGGACCACCTGGCCCTGCACATGAAGAGGCACATTTGAAGGCAAAAGAAGAAGAACGGGAGACGAAGGAGCAGAGAGGAGGAGTCAAAAGGACGGAGGGACGGTAGTCACGCTACAAACTGTTCATCCCTTTGATTGGCCGTCGGAGAGGGGATGAGGAGGAGACGAGGAGTAGCTAGATTGTTGTTTTTCTTTCAAATTTCACACTCGCGTTTTGACAGTAAACACGTCACACCGCTATCGATCATCCCGGTGAACCCCAGCTGCTCTCGCTGAGCTCTGGGGCTTTGGACACTGCCAAACATCACACCACCTTTCTTTTCTCTCTCTCTACTCAGTCTGTTCACATTATTGATTCACTTTGGTGAGAAAAAAATCCATTTACTCAACTCTTAGTGCATTACCGTACTTTTGAAAGTTCTTTTCTACGTTTTTGCCGGTTTTCGTACATGGAACATAAGCAACCGCCATCTGCCGCACTCAGCTTCTGTAATGTATGTGAGGAAAACAACAATGCAGCATCTGCAGGAGGGAGACCGTACGGATTGACTCCTAGCATGGCTGACAATCGAACCCGGGCCGTGAGACGGATTTGGAGCGCCCAATGGGACTTCAGTCAGTGGATGCCACTGCAGCTCTCAAGCTCTCCTCTAGAGGGCGCTTGCATCGCTCACCTTCACAGAGACGCCTGCCGCCTCCGCGGGCCATCGGACAGATAATGCGCAGCGACACTTTCTTCCCTTTTTTTCTACTTAAAGAACAATGATTTCTTCTTATCGTTGTTATCGAAACAAATGACACTTTGCGCTTTTCTTGCTTAGAGAAAATGTCTTAAAGCTCACAGAAATGAGTGTGAGAAGAAAACTGAAGGCAGAATGTGTGGGAAGAGGAGGTTGTTGGGCTTTTTATCCTCATGTGCACTGACTCTGCTTCTGCAGTTTTTAAACAACCAATCGACGGGGAGCAGAACAGCAGGATCAACTTTCAGATTAAAAAAATGATTTTTTTTGTTTTAGTTGGACTCAAATAAAAGCATTTTCTCTTATTTTCCCCTCAACCCAACGCAGCTAAAACAACTAAACCCTGAGATGACCTCCAGCGGTCTCACTCCACCAGTCAAGAGATGGACTCACTGATAAACTGGCAAACTGTTTTTATATATACACATATATAGGTCTTTTATTCTGAAAGTCATTTGTGTGTTTTCTCTCAGACTCTGAGACCTCATCTCCCTGGCAGACCTGCAGGGGGACGACTGAGGCTGAAGAGCTGCTTTTTGGTTATTGTTCACACGGGACTGAAGAAGCCAACCCACATCTGGGTGTTGGCTCTGAACGAACTCGGTCCCAAAGACCCGTCAAATTTGCCTGTTTTGTATCCATTTACTGCACTTATCTTTTTTATTTATTTATTATTTGAAACGTTATCTGTGCTTTTTACTACAGCAGAAAATAAGGAAAAAAGGAACCTAAAGAAAAAAACATAAAAGACTTAAAAATACAACAAAAACAGCTCTTTCTCACTTCACATGTTACATACAAAACAATCACACACACACTCACACACACACACACAGCTGTTCCAATGTTCACAGGCTCCTCTCAACATAAAACTAATAAGAAATAAAAAAATAATTACTAAACTAATGAGCAGAGTTGGAAAACAGAACACTGCATGACGGGCTTTAATACATACACACATACTCCAGCTCCTGAGCATGCACACACACACACACACACACACATGCGAATAAACACATGCGCACCCTTCGTGGAATTATATGTTCTGCTCCCAAATCTTTTTTCACAGTAGGAATTTAGCGACTGTTGTTTAGTGGAAGAGTATCTTAGCTCTCGGCTGGAGGCAACAAACGATTCCAGATCCTTTGAAGTGAGAAATCCGCTTGTTCTCGGCTTCCAACAATCACCCACATAACTCATGCTACAGTTTAGCCTCACATTTAATCCGTTTTAACTTCCAGACTCACAGTTGATTACAACAGAATTGCATTACTCAGTATTTTGATCTAGACTCCACTTGGATGAAGCAGGTGAAAATTCCTATCGATAAAAACTAATCCCGTACAGCGAGTCTGCAGCTGGAAGCGTTAGCACAGCTGCTTCTTTCTAGATCGATAAATCATCTTTGCAGTTATGGTGAAATTCTAAAAAAAAAAGGCTAAACCTTCATAAAATGTCTAATTAATCCTCTTTCCTTGCGACTTTAGGCCCCCGTAGCAACCTGCTTCTGAAAACCCAGCTCCAGTTTTGGTTCAACAAATACAAAACGATAAGAATTTAAAGGCATAGTTGACCATTTTGAAGTTTGTTCCTATGTAAAAATATAAGTGTTTATCTTACCAGTTGGATGTAGCTTCCTGATTGGCCTCGCTCTAAAGAAATACATTCTCCAAGACTGATGAGCTAACGGCTAGTGCTGTCGTCTTTGAAACCTCGGACCCACTGCAGGGTTCGGGACGGGACGGGGAGGGTCGTCGTCGAATAGTTTCACAACTTATTTATGAAATCGTGCATGTACATTTAACCCCGCCTGCCAATATCAGAGCCCTAACTGCAACAAAATAAAAGTTCTCCTGAAATTACAGGAAAACGTTTTTATCGCAGTTGAATCTTTACCAAACGTTTTCATTAAACAATTTTTGCAGAAATGTTTAAAAAAAACATTCCTAAATTCAGAAGTGCTTCATGCTTCCTGCTGCTGGTGATATTTATGCTTGCAAATAACCATGTGAAGCACAACAGATGGTGGTGTAAAGGTTTATAAAATGATGCGTACATGAAAGGATTTTTTCATTCAGAAAGGCTTCAAAATGGTCAAAAATATCCCTTTAAAAATCCCCCCAGTGACAATATTCACCGCTAGTTTTATCCATTGGGTCACCCAGACTGCACATCAGCAGAGATACATACCTACTTTTTATTTATTATCCTTTTTCCTTTTGGGGTTTTTTTGGATCTCAAAGACATATTTTACTGTGAAACGTCACCGACAAGAAGACAGCATCAATTTTATTGAGTTTAATGTAACAGTTTTAAATCTGTTTGTACAGTTTCTGACTATTTAAATTTTAGGATAGAAGATTTTAAGCCCCACATGCCCCGATGTTATACCAGCCTTTCTAATTATGCCATTTTTGCACAAATTTTTGACAAGAATTGTTGCAATAACAGAAATAATCTATTAAAACGAAGGCAGATCATTTTGCTACGATGTGTGGAATGATTTGCTGTGTTTTTTTTTTTTGTTTGTTTTTGGGTGAGCTTGAAAAAGTTATAAAACTAGCAGGCAAGCAGGCTTAAACAGTACAGATGTGTCACCAAATACCTAAAATGTTGTTTTCCCACGAAGAAAAACTGTAATGTTTGTTGCATCACCTGCTGGGTTTTCAAATTGTCTCCATTTCTGTTGAACCAATGACTTCTTGTTAGTGACCTGAATGTAATCAACAACAATGAAAGTTTTTTTTTTAATGACAGATGAGAGAAGACTCGAGCAAACATCCTCAGTGCCGGCTTCCTTTGCTCATTGGTTTGCAATCAGGCCATTCAACGCCAACGCTCTCATGGCTGCTCCATCCGCCCACCAGCACCTACATGCCCCGTAGCAAACAGTCGCTGCCTCTCGCTGATGCATCCGGGTGAGGTGCAGGTTCCTGAAGCTGGTGGTGGATTTCACGTCTCAGCATGCCAAGTCATTGTGCCACTTGGCCTTGAAAGCATTCATTAGGTGCAGCAGTGAAAACATTCTCCTCAGTAAGGGGGGGGGGGGGGGGGGGGGTATATGGTGCAGCTTTGAACAATCGATACCAAAAACCTCCAGCGTGGAACTGCCCTGTAGCCTCGGGCAAGGCCTCCTCTGTCAGACGGGATCAGCAGGACTCCACCTGCATGCAGGTCCCGGGCTCTTAACGGCAGCTTTCTCTACTAACTCTGTCCTTCTGCTACGCTCAGAGGAAAACCTGAGCACCCCCTCGTTCAGGACTGAGGTTTTACGCGTCAGGAATTTAAAACATCCTCTAAAAACCTAAATGAAAGAGTCTGCAGTCGTGTGCCCTGATGTGACCACCTTCATAGGATCCTGAAACTTCAGAAAAAAATACTTTGCCTAACAAAGCAGCTAATGTTTTTGATTTTTTTCATCACTAAATCTGTGTTGATGGGTGTTTTCATCAGCCTGGATGATGCAACGTCATCCCTGCAAAGAGGAGTAAGGAAGCCCTCCTTTACAGGACGTACAATCATAGAAGAATGGGGATTGTTGCACTTTTGTGAGGTTTTTGATGGCATGAATGTGTGTGTGTGCATGCGTGCGTGCGTGCGTGCGTGTGTGTGTTGTTTTGTTTCCCCCAAAAAGAAAACTGTGAGAAAAGTGGCCATGCAGCGATGATTCAGTACTGATGTTAAACTGCAAATCTAACGTGGGGAAAAGTCGAATAATACAGACGGTGTTGGATTTCTTCTACTTTGGTTGTTGCGAAACGCTTTGATGTTTTTTGTTGTTTTTTTTCCTGATCCTTAATTTATTCATGGATCAATTTAACTCACAGAGGTCAGTGATGTAGGTCAGAGTGATGTCAGATTTCATTTATTCTCCATCGTCTCTAAATTAGTATTTTCAGTAAAATGATTTAGCTAAATCTGGTTTCAGTAAAATCCTGTTGCAGTCAGATGTTTAAAAACATTTATGCTTTTTATATTAAATAGGGGGCTTTTAATGATATATTGAGCTTTTACCAAAGTCTGCATTGCACCACGGCATGATGCTGCCACCACCATGCTTGAAAGTTGGTGCAGTGTTGGGTTGAAAGCTTCAGCTCTGACTCCAAACAACTCGTCATTGTGGCCAAACAGCTTCATTTCTGTCTAGTTTGACTGTAAAATTTCATCCGGAAGACATTTGGCTCATGCATGTAGACATCTATGGATTCCACCACAGTTTTTCCTGATCTACCTCCTCTCAGTGCTCGATGTTGTAAAATTCAGTTTCTGGCAGCTTCGATTCCTCTTGAGAATTTTAACCAACTTGCTTACAACGAGCAGCAGAAGAGGAGATCCAGGAAAAATGTCAAGCCTTCTAAAGCTGGCAGAGAAACTCCCATCTGCAGGCGTGCATCACCAACTGTTCTTGTCCACCATTAAAAGCCTCACATTAATATGCCAGTATCCATGATGAGTGTATGTAAACATCTGACCATAACAGAAGATCCGAGCCAAATCTAAACAAATAAAATCCTGTGATTTCCTCCTCAAATGAAAATCTCTCCTTTGGCATCTGACCGATCTCTGAGTCACTCCAGATAGGAATTCACATTTCCCTTGCTGTTTCTCGGCCTGTCAGAGCCAGTTTGGTGTCACAGAGTTGCTGCAGGTCCCCTGTCGTCTCTCAGGCTCCTCCAGGCCTGCTAGCTGCCATCCCACAGATATGATTAGCATCGTAACTCCTGGGTCTCCCTCTCTAGCTGCAGTTGAGCTAATGAGATGGCACTGGGTCACGTGGAAACGGAGTGGTCTGGAGGGATAGAAAAGAGGTGAAAAAAAAACACAGGGACCTTCAGCCAGACTGATTGCAGCTGTCCACACTGAGGGAAAGATCTGATCTGGAACAAATAGAAATCTCTGTTAGCACAGAGGAGCGCCAGGAAACAGAGGAGAGAGGTGTTTGTGATAATATAATAATAATAATAATATTTCATGTTACTGATCACAGTTAAATGATCACTTTTTCCATTTTTCCTTCTAATTCCCCTCCTCCACCCACGCTCACCCCTCCCTTTCTGTCCACAGCAGTCGTCCACGCGCTGCCAGCTGCAGGAATGCTGAATGCACACTTTTTAAAATTTGCCCAAAGATTTGCATATTTGTAAGTTAACTGCTGTGAATGTAGTAGATTTAGTAGAGCGATCTGAGTGGCGGAGATGCAGAAGAGAAGTGATGGGTGGAAGGTGGAAGGAAAGGAACCATTTTTGTCTCGTAGAAGTAAATCTTAATGACAGACACGCTCTGACTCTTCATGGCTCATAACATCCACCTCAGTCTCCTGTCTGCCGTAAGCAGCTCAACTCATCACTCACAGATGTAAAAAATAATGTTTTCATTGTCTCTTAGAGTGTCCAGTGATGTGGCGCGAGCAGCTTGAAGCAGGAGTGAAGTAGCTTTAGATGAGTTAGCCTATGAGCGGACTGCGGACCACAGCATCATGTTTCATTTCAAAGGTAAAGGTGGGCTTCAAGTCACAAACTGTAAATCTCATGTTAGATGTCGAGCTTTGGTCCAGGTTTACTATTCCTGTGGATTAACAGAGTTCAGAGGATTAGGTCATGAAAGGGTTTTCACTCTGGAAGAAAAATATCTTCATTTTAATCTCTCAGGTGCAAAAAGGCCAATTTTAGTACATTCATTATAAAAAATGCACAGCTTGTGTTTCAAAGCATGTGTTCATCTTGAATCCTGGCTCATTCTCCCCCGAAATTTGAACCAAAACAAATCAATGGCAGCTTAGTTTAGTTTGCTTTTTAATTTTGTTCAAAATTTACCTGAATGTGTGATTTGTACCATGATTCTCTCACAAGGATTCAGACAGCTTTCCACAATAAAAAATAAAAGCTAAAGTGAGATTAAGGACACATTACAGGCATAGTTGTAGTATGTGATTGACCATTGTTTTTTTTAAAGGCTGCAATCTGGATTTAAGCTGTATTCTTGCAAATTGCATCCATAAAACAGGCTGTAAAAGCAGTGGCCGAGAGCCGAAGCAGACCATCGGCACTCACACTCCTCTGATTCCTCTGGCAGAGCAAGCTTACTGTGCTGAAGAGAGATTGTCATTTCTGGCAGCTTTTGTAAATAGCGTGAGATCTCACTTGCTGACCACTCTGTGGGATGTTAACCGTACGTGGCAACAGCACCGTCTCCGACATTTCTATAGATCAGCTTTAGTTGTTGCAGCCATTGCACTACGTGATCATACTTAGCTATTGCACTCTTCATGTGCGCGCACCGCTAGCATAGTCTGTTTGAGCACTCAGTCAAATATCCACTTAACATTTTTCACAGGACCAGGATGCACTTTGACACCAAGAATAAACCTCTGCTGGTCTAGTGACACATCTCGTCTCTGGACCACTCTGGCTGGTTCTTCTTGGTATCGACGGCATCCTGGGGGTGATTTTGTCTGTAACTACCGTGTTAGTCCATGCTTATTGTGTCAGTATATAAAATAATTCACACATTTAACCCCTCACCTTTCATCTGTACGTTTCACTCCACACACCAAACCCTCTCCACCAGAACCACCACCATCAGAGCCCCCCTGTGGTCCAGCATGTTTATTCATCCAGATGTTTCCAGAAGTTTCCTCAGGAGCAAAGCGGCTTAGGAGCGCCAAGCTAATTCTAGACAACGTTTTCAATGTTTTAGGTAAACTACTGCAAACAGTAAAGCTCATGTTGTTCTATTGGCCATCTGTATGTGAAGGTGCTCTTTCTGAGTTTTCCCTCCTTTCTTTCGTGTGTTTCTGAGCATTGGATTGGTATCATTGAGTCCATTTTCCGTTCTCTTTTTTCATTTGGTGAAAAAATTGCAGAGTTAAAAACAGTCAGAAATGCTTTGTTTGTCACTTTATCGCAAAGTTGTTTCAAACCTTAAAATCAAAACTTGAACATGTTTTCAGACGTTTAGATTCAGTCTAGAGAAAATACCTTCAAAATAAAAGCATTAACATTAGTATAGTTTTAAATTAATTTAGTGTTGATCTGTTAGTCACATAAGATGAGCCAAACTGATATTTTTGTCAGAAGAAAATGACATTTTGCAGGTTTTTATGATCCGGTTTGTGTGTATACTGGAGTACAGAGAACAACAATGTGTCTTATTGGATGAACAAACATGTAGAAAAGTGAAAAAGACAAGCCAATGTTTGTTAATCATCACAGAAGAGGCTCCACAACTCCGCTCATGTCAACATTCATAAACTTTCACCCCACACATCCCAACCTTCCTCTCTTCTGTCACTGTCATCTCCGTTGGCTTTCTTTGATTTCCAGTTCTCTTGTTTTACTTCCAATGTTTTGCTGTACAAAGTGTTTAAAATATTATTTGTATTATATAATGTTAGTATGGTAATGTTCTTTATTAAGGAAGAAGAAAAATTTATTTTTGTTACTGGTCTGTTTCATAATTCTTTTCTAAATTGGTATTGTAAGATATCTATGCAAGAACTGTTAAGTGGAGCATTTTTATTTAAGAATGTAATATGTGTAATAAATGGTAGAATCTGGTTATGCCTTCATCTGGTGTTCATAGTTTTACTGACGCAGTCTCTTGTTTTACTGGAACAGAGTGAGGGAAACGTATCGAATCAATCTCACGTATCAGACATGGTTGCCAAAAGATGGTCAAAGTGGCGGAGAAACCGTGAAACCAGGCGTACAATAATGATCGTACTTGTAGGATAATTTAGCCCTCCATATATCTAATCCAATCCAACTTTATTTGTATAACACTTTATACATAACACTGTCAAAGTGCTTCACATACAGATAAAACATACAGACACAATTAAAAACAGTTAAAACATGGATAATGTATTAAAACATACAAAAACATTGTAAAAGAAATAAAACACAACACTGCTTAAAGACAGGAGTGGATAAGAATGTCAGTGTTAAAAGCCAGTGAATAATGGTGAGTCTTGAGGAGCGACTTACGACTAGAGAAGACGTCTGTCTAATATTGCCTGGAAGCTGGTTCCAAAGCCCAGGCGTGGCAGCA